ATACATGTATCTGTATAGTTAGAACATGTACCAGTATACATGTATCTGTATAGTTAGAACATGTACCAGTATACATGTATCTGTATAGATAGATACATGTACCAGCATACATGTATCTGTATAGATAGATACATGTACAAGTATATGTACAATATATATAATATCAAATCAAGAAATTTTAATATTGTAACAATTATGAACATTTTTTTTCAAAATTTCCATACAAAACAAAAAAATCATCCAATTGGCAGCCAACTTTTTTTTCTTATATAAGTAAATTCTACATTATATATTCTGAAAGTGCAAAATTCTCATTAATTTCAGCAGGAAAGTACAAATTTGTCTTCCCTACATTTACCGCCGAGGGAAACTGTTCCCCTGTTACTCTGGATCTGAAAATAGCAGCTGAAGCTGAAAACATCACCCAGCTTATATGAGGAGACAGTCATCACTACAGAAAAACCTATACTCTGACATTTACATCAGGATATTGTCACTGTAATAGTCTGTCAGCATCGTATAAACCATGAACAACACCACAGAGTAGTGGTGAATGGTGACTACAGGTAAACCTGAATAGATACATGGAAAGTCTTGTATCTCACCAATACCAAAAACAACAACCTTAAAGTCTTATGTCTCATTAAACGAACAAAATGGCAAGCCTAATATCTCATCGATCCAATTACATGTCCAGTGACTCAATATCTCACATTAATGTCCAGTGACTCAATATTTCACATTAATGTCCAGTGACTCAATATCTCATATTAATGTCCAGTGACTAAATATCTCACATTAATGTCCAGTGACTAAATAACTCAAATTTATGTCCAGTGACACAATATAACACATTAATGTCCAGTGACTCAATATTTCACATTAATGTCCAGTGACTCAATATCTCATATTAATGTCCAGTGACTAAATATCTCACATTAATGTCCAGTGACTAAATAACTCAAATTTATGTCCAGTGACACAATATAACACATTAATGTCCAGTGACTCAATATTTCACATTAATGTCCAGTGACTCAATATCTCATATTAATGTCCAGTGACTAAATATCTCACATTAATGTCCAGTGACTAAATAACTCAAATTTATGTCCAGTGACACAATATAACACATTAATGTCCAGTGACTCAATATTTCACATTAATGTCCAGTGACTCAATATCTCATATTAATGTCCAGTGACTAAATATCTCACATTAATGTCCAGTGACTAAATAACTCAAATTTATGTCCAGTGACACAATATAACACATTAATGTCCAGTGACTCAATATTTCACATTAATGTCCAGTGACTCAATATCTCATATTAATGTCCAGTGACTAAATATCTCACATTAATGTCCAGTGACTAAATAACTCAAATTTATGTCCAGTGACACAATATAACACATTAATGTCCAGTGACTCAATATTTCACATTAATGTCCAGTGACTCAATATCTCATATTAATGTCCAGTGACTAAATATCTCACATTAATGTCCAGTGACTAAATAACTCAAATTTATGTCCAGTGACACAATATAACACATTAATGTCCAGTGACTCAATATTTCACATTAATGTCCAGTGACTCAATATCTCATATTAATGTCCAGTGACTAAATATCTCACATTAATGTCCAGTGACTAAATAACTCAAATTTATGTCCAGTGACACAATATAACACATTAATGTCCAGTGACTCAATATTTCACATTAATGTCCAGTGACTCAATATCTCATATTAATGTCCAGTGACTAAATATCTCACATTAATGTCCAGTGACTAAATAACTCAAATTTATGTCCAGTGACACAATATAACACATTAATGTCCAGTGACTCAATATTTCACATTAATGTCCAGTGACTCAATATCTCATATTAATGTCCAGTGACTAAATATCTCACATTAATGTCCAGTGACTAAATAACTCAAATTTATGTCCAGTGACACAATATAACACATTAATGTCCAGTGACTCAATATTTCACATTAATGTCCAGTGACTCAATATCTCATATTAATGTCCAGTGACTAAATATCTCACATTAATGTCCAGTGACTAAATAACTCAAATTTATGTCCAGTGACACAATATAACACATTAATGTCCAGTGACTCAATATTTCACATTAATGTCCAGTGACTCAATATCTCATATTAATGTCCAGTGACTAAATATCTCACATTAATGTCCAGTGACTAAATAACTCAAATTTATGTCCAGTGACACAATATAACACATTAATGTCCAGTGACTCAATATTTCACATTAATGTCCAGTGACTCAATATCTCATATTAATGTCCAGTGACTAAATATCTCACATTAATGTCCAGTGACTAAATAACTCAAATTTATGTCCAGTGACACAATATAACACATTAATGTCCAGTGACTCAATATTTCACATTAATGTCCAGTGACTCAATATCTCATATTAATGTCCCGTGACTCAATATCTCATATTAATGTCCAGTGACTCAATATCTCATATTAATGTCCAGTGACTAAATATCTCACATTAATGTCCAGCAACTCAATATCTCACATTAATGTCCAATGACTCAATATTTCACATAAATGTCCCGTGACTCAATATTTCATATTAATGTCCAGTGACTCAATATCTCATATTAATGTCCAGTGACACAATATCTCCCATTAATGTCCAGTGACTAAATATCTCACATTAATGTCCAGCAACTCAATATCTCACATTAATGTCCAATGACTCAATATTTCACATTAATGTCCAGTGACTCAATATCTCATATTAATGTCCAGTGACTAAATTATCTCACATTAATGTCCAGTGACTAAATAACTCAAATAATGTCCAGTGACTCAATATTTCACATTAATGTCTAGTGACTCAATATCTCACATTAATGTCAAGTGACTCAATATCTCACGTTAATGTCCAGTGACACAATATCTCATATTAATGTCTAGTGACTAAATATCTTACATTAATGTCCAGTGACACAATATCTCACATTAATGTCTAGTGACTAAATATCTCATATTAATGTCCAGTGACTCAATATCTCACATTAATGTCTAGTGACTACATATCTCACATTAATGTCCAGTGACACAATATCTCACATTATTGTCTAGTGACTAAATATCTCACATTAATGTCCAGTGACTCAATATCTCATATTAAAGTCCAGTGACTCAATATCTCACATTAATGTCCAGTGACACAATATCTCACATTAATGTCTAGTGACTAAATATCTCACATTAATGTCCAGTGACTCAATATCTCACATTACTTTCTAGTAACTCAATATCTCACAATAAGGTGTATAGGCTCAATTTTTAAGCGACTCAATATCTTATACTATAATCAAGTGACTCGATATCTTACTTTAACATCTAGAGCTTCATTATCTGAAATATACCATTGGGTAAAACACAAAGACAAGACAAATTGGATGATAGGGCGGTAGGATAATCAGGGAAATGCTCTACAAGATTTACAGACCATACCCTGCTTCATTCAACTTGTCATAATTCAACAACTACACTGTGACCTGTACTTCAGAAAACTGTCCGGAGTGTTTGACATGGTCATCAGCTTCTGACCATGTCAACTCTGAGAGTACATGTCTCAAGCCTCTCAATCAAAGAAATTTGGGAAATCGTCAGACAGAAGCAAATTAAGACATTATTTATTTTTTGTACTACTGGAATTTTACTGAAGTTGGGTATTATGTGAACCCTAGTATCACTTTAGCTCACTATTGGAATCTCAGACAAATTGTTCGCTGTATCTATCCAAACATTAACTTATTTTCATAGAAAAAGAACATATGATTTTCTCTGTGTTAATTAAAGTTAGTTAATGATTTGACTATAAAATTAAACCTGAAAACTTGAATGGCATTACAGTGATGAATATTCAAGGATTGAATCAGCTTTGTTTGTCATTATGATATAGTAAACTGTATTAGCATCAGCTTCATTCTAATGCTTGTCATTAGGTTAGATACAGTAAACTGTATTAAGCATCAGCTTCATTTTGATGCTTGTCACTAGGTGAGATACAGTAAACTGTATTAGCATCAGCTTCATTCTAATGCTTGTCATTAGGTTAGATACAGTTAATTGTATTAGCATCAGCTTCATTTTGATGCTTGTCACTAGGTTAGATACAGTAAACTGTATCAAAATCAGCTTCATTCTGATGCTTGTCACTAGGTTAGATACAGTAAACTGTATCAGAATCAGCTTCATTGTAATGTTTGTCAAAGTAGGATAGATACAGTTAACTGTATCAGAATCAGCTTCATTCTGATGCTTGTCACTAAGATAGATACAGTAAACTGTGTAAATAAAGCAGTACTTACATTCATCTCTAAAACGTGGCTCTGCGTTCGGTCCGACGCGGGCTAGTGTTCGGATCAACTCTGTCTGTATGTTGTGTTCATCCTTATATGCAGGGTCATCCATGAAGGTCAGAAACTGCATGTACACACGATCTAACATCTGTAAAGAGATTACAGTTAAATACCATCATAACTATTCACTTAAACTCAGTCACAGTTTCACTAATCATTACATTTACATAAAACCTAGATACGTTTTCATCAAATCTAGTCATCTGTCCTTCAAAAATGATCAGCTTTCAAATCTAGTTCAGCATGATGTGTCAAATCTATACTATACCCATTTACATCAAGTCATGTCACATCAAATCATGTCACATTTACATCAAATCATGTCACATTTACAACAAACCTAGTAATATTATATTTAATATAGTCATATCTAACATGATATCATCTAGCAATTAAATATCAATCTTATATAAAATGTTAGGTTGTATATATTTTTGTACAAATCGTTTTTTTAATTTTGTAAAAAAATAACTGAAGTTGTTAGCTTTGTTGTCAGGCAACTTCCTTCACCAAAACGACACTTTTAACACTTCAGTAACTGGAAGAAATTATCTGGTGAAAGACCGACACAATTTTTCAAAAGTTACATACTGCTTTAAATTTACTTATGGGGAATGCAACTTGCGAGTGGGATATAAAACTATATTTCTTTGCCACATTGGGAAAATAGTCAGAACACAAGGTATGTAATCAAACTGGATTAGAAATAAATTTAAAACTAGAAAATGTCTGTGAGACATAAATGCTTCCGCTGCCATGTGAAATTAGTTTCAGTGTTCTATAAAAAGTTACAACCACTTTGATCTTGATACCCTGAAACATGCACACACACAAGGTACTACACTTGAAGTTGATTTTAATATTCATATGGTTTTTTTCTGTATGTTATTACCATCTCAATAACATATGGAATGAAGTTGCTAAGTGTTTAAATTGAAACAGTAGATTATTTTCTATATATAGCAACAGTGACCTTGGCCTTGACCTCGTAACCCTGAAACACAACAATGTCCGAAGTATTCTGATACTTGACCTTTGCATAAAGTTTGACCAAAATCCATGAAAGAATAAAGTTGCTAAGTGTTTAAATTGAATCAGTTGATGATTTTCTATATATAGCAAGTGTGACCTTGGCCTTGACCTTGTCCCTGAACTACAACGATGTCCGAAGTATACTCATACTTGACCTTTGTATAAAATTTGACCAAAATCCATGAAAGAATGAAGTTGTTAAGTGTTTACATTGAATCGGGACGGGACGGGACGGAACGAGTTTCTATATATAGCAAGTATGACCTTGACCATGACCTTGACCATGACCTTGGCCTTGACCTTGGATCCCTGAAATACAAAGATGTCTGAAGTATAATCATACTTGACTTTTATATAAAGTTTGTCCAAAAACTGTCAAAGAATGAAGTGTTTACATTGAATCGGGACGGACATGGGTAGCACTATATGCCCCCCAATTTTATGGCAGAGTCATAAAGATACCTGCATGATTATTTTTTAAGAAAAAAGAAAAAAAATGGAAATGCTTGCCTGCCACATTACTTTTTTCAAAAATAAATGGGCAGAGAAACTAAAGATTAATTTTAAATGGATATTTTAGGCTATAAAGGCACCCAAAACCCACACATAATTTACCTGCATCCTTATTAAGACAAATACAGAATACAGAATTATTGTGAAACAAAACTTTATTGGAGAAACTCTTTATTTCCGATTTAATTTATGATCTGTCAGAAATATCAAAGCACTAACAAGCTATCCATAATAAACAGATCAACAGTATGAAGAGAGTTTGACCCCGACAGTCAGGTAGACATTCAGATGGAACCAATCACTCCCTAGTGTAACAAGAAATGTTAAAACTCTCAGACCAACCACAGCACCTCTAAGTGTAACTGGTCAGACAGGCTGGAGCACTGTAGCGCGATTCAATCTAGAATGTTACTGGTGACAAGTCAACAGCTACTAACATTATTACCTGCCAGCTTCCAATTTAGTTATGCATAAATTATTTGTCTTTACAAGTAAGTCATGTGTACTAGATAAAGATTTAATCTTGTCGGCAGACCATAGAGAATGTCAGTAAGCATCCCACGACAACACCTACTTAGTCCGCTCATCAGAGACACAAAACCTGATATGGTCATAGATGGTCTCCGTGTCTTGACACTTTCATTGCAGGAAGTTTTATAATCCAAAACCTTACACATATCACCATGGTAACAAGGAGTAAAAGTGTAACACCAGACTAAGACTACAGACTTACCTCCCTTTGGTTGATATTTTCTATTATTGCACCTAAAGCTGGAATGGTTGAAGTTCTCACAGAGCTATAAATACAAAGGTTAAAGGTAAGAGGTTATACTATCGTTAAAAGGTCAGAGGTCAAAAATCTTAACATAAAAAGTCAAAACCAAAGAAAATAACTAGTCTTAGAGGGTTGACAAGCTGGTGAAATCTAAACAGAGTTACAGGTCATTTTAGAAGTTTTAAAGTCCTTCAATCTGAACACTGATGTGGTTTTTTTAATTTTTATCCAATAACACTTAACTCTGAACTTACATTTCTGGGTCGTTGCCGAGGGTGACCAGGGCTGGGAAAACTCGAGCGGACACAAGGTTTTCACTGACTCCCTTGACTAGGAGCTGTAACAGAAAGGACCATACTCAACAACCAGGAAAAACAGAAGCTTACCATTCTAATTTCAATTACATTTTTTATTCGTATTTTCCATCAAACTTTAAAAAAAAGAACAATCCAATAATATCACAGTACAAAACTTTTCATATTACTGATATTAAAACTACATATCTGATACTGACCTCAAATAAACGAGCCGCTGTACTCCGCACCTGAGCCGACGTGTGAACCACGCCCTCCCATAACACAGTCAACAGTAACTCATGGTTACTCGGGTTCGCACTGAAACACAAAGTCAATGTCACATAACATCAAACGTCAAGAACAGAAAATCACAGCAGTTCCTTAAGGTAAAAGGGATTCGCACTGAAATACAAGGTCAAGGTCCTTCACACAATACCTTCAAACAGGCAAGGACAAAAAACTCAGCAGTAACTTATGGTTACTTGGAATCACAAGAGATACAAGGCAACATGAAGGACAAAGGCCCAAGCAGTAACTCATGGTTACTGGGACTCACCATAATGAATGTTTCAAAATCACCACCAATGCTTCATCTCATGCACATTTCCAAAGTTAACAAGAGGGAATTCTGAATATTAACCAAACCAATAATTTGTTGACTGAATTGACCAATCAGCATGCATTTGGTGAGGATCCTATAGGTAAAATAAGGCTCTGACCTGTCTTATCCTAAAGTGGTGGTGGGGGTGGGGGTGGGGGTGGGGCGAATATCATCATCCATGGCCTTTTGAAAAGAAGTTGTTTAAGAAAAGGGGTGGTACCATACCTGATTTCGGTAAAGGCTGCCTTGATGCTGTCGAGGGGAGCTTGGTACACGGACACCATCGTCAACATCTCTTGTAGGAACTGGGACAACTGCTGGCGATCCTCCTCCTTAAGGTCAAGGTTAATTGATGTATTAATATACTGATTCAATACAATGATATCAACATGTGTTCTTAAGAAACAGGTTTGGATGAGTTATAAATAAATAAGTTATTTTCAAGACTGACTAGACTCAGAAACACATCAAAGTTATTGTTTGAGGTCATAATGTCTTAAATGAAGGCTAGCATTTTTGTTGCCTGCCAGTGCTTTATTAAGACTGAAAAATCCTTAAGCATATGACACATGGGAGTTATTGAATTCGATTTATAACTTCAATACTCTATGTATAATAAGATATTAACGTCTGTGTCTCTTACCGAATTAAATGCGCTGAGGACTCCTCCCGCATAAACCGGTACAATACATGTCGTCACCGACGTCTGTTTTGCATTGGCGTATGCCTGGTATTCTGTTAAACAAATAGACAATAGATTAACAGGAGAAAAAACTCTACTACGAACCTAGCCAATGCCTTTACAAAATATATACAATGTAATTACATACACCAGTGATATGTACAAATTCATCCAGATTTTTTTTATTCTAATCTTTGGAAATCGATATCTAATGAATTTAGAATGAACTATAATTTCTTCCACAACCCCTATAGTTCTCCTTATTTCAAACTCATTGAATAAACTTGCTAGGAATTGGTGAACAGTTTTCTCTCATTTCTGTGTGTGTGAGATACAGCTGTCCAGGGTAAGAAAAGGGTGTGGGAAATTTCTGATCCTACACCCAATTTCAGGTGATGTGATGTCGCAATGGCTAAACAATGACGTGACGTCACAATGCCTCAACAATGACGTGACATCACAATGGCTCAACAATGACGTGACGTCATAATGGTTCAACAATGACGTGACATCACAATGGCTCAACAATGATGTGACGTCACAATGGCTCAACAATGAATTTGGAAAACTCTGATGCGCAATACAAAAATTGGCGTCGTGATGAAATTGAAACCTATTACGAAATATTTACTGTACACATTAGAGAGATGAGATAATTTTTTCTGCGCAAACTATATTTGCAACTATGAGGTATGCTAAATCTGGCCTTCTGATTCATTTTCGTTTAAAAAACCCAGGGGAAAAATTGATATTTTTGAAAATGGTAGCCAGTCCAAACACATTTTCATGGTTTCTGAGCTTATTCTGGTAGTTAAAAGGAGAGAAGGATACTCTTTCATGCCCAGGTGTGAAGGATAGGGAAATTCCACCCTGAGGATTTTTAAATCTGGTAAAACCGGTTTTATCAAATTTGACAACCACTCTAATGGAATTTCCCTATCCGACAACCCTGGGCAGGTAAGTGTCTTATATTGCTTACCCATTAGTGAGTAACCCCCTGGACGTTATTTCATTGGTCAATAATCTAATTATGACGTAAAGTGACAATGCCTTGCGACATCATCTTCCATTTGTGACATCATAGTCTCATGGCAATTGTTTCCCCGATCAGAAACAGGAATAATGTATTCAAATGAAAAACATGGTTTTCGATAGGAAATGAGACCACAGGCCTCTGAAGAGATCACTGGCAACGAGATCACAAACCTTAGGCACAAGGCCTAAGGTGAGTCTACTTACCCACATGTTACAAGGCCTTAGGTGAGTCTACTTCCCCACATGTTACAAGACCTTAGGGGAGTCTCCTTACCCACATGTTACAAGTCCTTAGGTGAGCCTACTTACCCACGTGTTACAAGGCCTTAGGTGAGTCTACTTACCCACAAGTTACAAGGCCTTAGGTGAGTCTACTTACCCCCATGTTACACGGCCTTAGGTGAGTCGACTTACCTACATGTTACAAGACCTTAGGAGAGTCTACTTACCCACATGTTCCAAGACCTTAGGTGAGTCTACTTCCCCACATGTTACAAGGCCTTAGGTGAGCCTACTTACCCACGTGTTACAAGGCCTTAGGTGAGTCGACTTACCTACATGTTACAAGACCTTAGGTGAGCCTACTTACCCACATGTTATAAGACCTTGGGTGAGTCTACTTACCCACATGTTACAAGGCCTTAGGTGAGTCTACTTACCCACATGTTACAAGGCCTTAGGGGAGTCGACTTACCCACATGTTACAAGACCTTAGGAGAGCCTACTTACCCACATGTTACAAGACCTTAGGTGAGTCTACTTACCCACATGTTACACGGCCTTAGGTGAGTCGACTTACCCACATGTTACAAGGCCTTAGGGGAGTCTTCTTACCCACATGTTACAAGGCCTTAGGTGAGTCTTCTTACCCACATGTTACAAGGCCTTAGGGGAGTCTTCTTACCCACATGTTACAAGGCCTTAGGTGAGTCTACTTACCCACATGTTACAAGGCCCTAGGTGAGTCTACTTACCCACATGTTACAAGGCCTTAGGTGAGTCCACTTACCCACATGTTACAAGACCTTAGGTGAGTCTACTTACCCACATGTTACAAGGCCCTAGGGGAGTCTACTTACCCACATGTTACAAGGCCTTACGTGAGTCTACTTAACCACATGTTACAAGACCTTAGGTGAATCTACTTACCCACATGTTACAAGGCCTTAGGCGAGTCTACTTATCCACATGTTACAAGACCTTAGGTGAGTCGACTTACCCACATGTTATAAGACCTTGGGTGAGTCTACTTACCCACATGTTACAAGGCCTTAGGTGAGTCGACTTACCCACATGTTATAAGACCTTGGGTGAGTCGACTTACCCACATGTTACAAGACCTTAGGTGAGTCTACTTACCCACATGTTGCAAGACCTTAGGTGAGTCTACTTACCCACATGTTACACGGCCTTAGGTGAGTCGACTTACCCACATGTTACAAGGCCTTAGGTGAGTCTTCTTACCCACATGTTACAAGGCCTTAGGTGAGTCGACTTACCCACATGTTACAAGACCTTAGGTGAGTCTACTTACCCACATGTTACAAGACCTTAGGTGAGCCTACTTACCCACATGTTACAAGACCTTAGGTGAGTCTACTTACCCACATGTTACAAGACCTTAGGTGAGCCTACTTACCCACATGTTACAAGACCTTAGGTGAGTCTACTTACCCACATGTTACAAGACCTTAGGTGAGTCTACTTACCCACATGTTACAAGACCTTAGGTGAGTCTACTTACCCACATGTTACAAGACCTTAGGTGAGTCTACTTACCCACATGTTACAAGACCTTAGGTGAGTCTACTTACCCACATGTTACAAGACCTTAGGTGAGTCTACTTACCCACATGTTACAAGACCTTAGGTGAGTCTACTTACCCACATGTTACAAGACCTTAGGTGAGTCTACTTACCCACATGTTACAAGACCTTAGGTGAGTCTACTTACCCACATGTTACAAGACCTTAGGTGAGTCTTCTTACCCACATGTTACAAGACCTTAGGTGAGTCTACTTACCCACATGTTCATCTGTTAGTATCATCAGTTCTATGAATTTTGGTCGAATCTTCAACAGAAAATATCACTTTTATTACTGTTGTCAGAAAATTTTCTTTTACTTATATGCATTTTGTTCATGGAAAAATTTGGAAAAAAGCCACACATTTTCATTCACATTCAGAATTGTGGTACATGAAAAAAAAATCGTTTTTATCATTTATGAATTATTATAACTTTTAATTGTGAATTAAACCTGAGAACAAGTTTACCTTCTTCTCCATGAATGTTTTGCCGAATGTCCGACAAATCTTGAAGAAGCATTTACACTGACATGTGGTGATACGGGGGGATGAGAGTCCAGCTCCCATGGAGATCTCAATCAAACGCGGGATTCTGGAACACAGATAGGTCATATGTCACAACTAACTATTGTTATTAGACTCAGAGTACAGGTAAGTCATTTCTGTCATAACTAAAAATGTAAAAAACTTTTAAAAAGGCTAATAACAAATTCCTACTTACAAATTAAAAGATATGTTCTAATTAAAGGAAAATCCATCTAATAAATAAAATCCTACTTACAAATTATTTACAACCCAATTAAAGTTGTCCCATGGTTCAAACCATTCCTGAGATATGTGTTTTTCGTAGAGACTCATAAGGGCAGACAACTCCTTTCCGCCTCCCACTACAGTTTTCAGATCTGACAACGGTGAACTTGGTTTAGGAAACCGGGAAGCTGGATAATTAAAAAAACAAAACAAGAGATAACATACAGTGACATCATTTATATCATTTTTTTTAATCCACAAATTCATTTTTCATGACATATGTGTGACCAGTAATAACAGACAAAGATAAATGTTCTGCCTGGTCAGTAAACAGTATACATACAGTTCATGTAGATAACTTTCATTTGATTTATTGCATGTGTCTAGTATATACATGACATTAATGTAAGTGTTATTGCAGTGTTTTCATTGAAACAGGAAAGAGCTTGTGTGTTTCCTGCAAACTTACGCTGTCTGCACCCCTAGAATATGTCATAGCAATATTGAAGGTAGGTGGCTAGCTATTTGATTGGTCTCAGGTAAAGAAAACCTGACCAATCGCTAGGCAGATACATGTCCTTTGAAGATTAAAGAGGAGCGACACCCGACTTCAAAGCCTGGAGTTCAATTTTACCGTGACTGAGAGATTCTTTTGATGTTCATGAAATGATCAAACTATAGTCTTCTCGTCTCATCCACAAGATGGCGCACAACGAGCCTCCAACTTTGCTATGATATAATCAAGGGGTGCAGAGAACGAAAGTGAGCGTAACCCATGGAGGATGGTTTTCCTAGTAATATACATGTAAACTGGATACAAAATTTACCTTAACATTTTAACAAGACTTTGATCATTGTCAAATAAACAGGAATAGTCAAAACAATAGATAATTGACAGATATTGACTTACCATCGACTGGTTCCACGGTACCTAACATCTCACTCAGGTGACTAACAAATGGGGCAGATTTGACCATGGAAAGGAAAAGGAAGGGGACGAGTTCCTGAAGTGCCATCATGAGGAGGAGGAAGCGCCCCTCGTTTAGGGGAATCGTCACACTGTTAGATGCCTTCTGAGCTGCTAGAGCACACTATCAAAATAAAAGTAACAGATGGTGTTAGGGCAGGCTTTATCTCAGATTTATACAGTCAAGTACCTCTCCTAAACATACCCTTGTTTAATCTCCTTATAAAGACTTCACTGTTTGTATTACAGAGGCATTATAAGGAGAATGCAAAGGCGTTATAAAGAGGGTACTGTATTAACTGTATTAACAATTGAATCAATATACAGTTTAGTATTCATGATAAAAAAATAAACAACTTTAATATTTGATTTTTTATGAGTTAGTATAACGAGACTTAAAATTGATTTTTTTTCGTAATATTCATGCACATGTAATTCTATTTATATCTAACAGTGTAAACTATTAACAAATATTTTTTTCAAATTCACACATTAAGCTTGTGAGTACTTCTGTGAACAACAATATCAACAACAACTATTACATGTAAACGACAATGATATCAATTACTGTTCTATGTGAATAACATCAACCACTACCAACCCTCACAAAATGAATGGTACTGTCCAAGTCAATAGACAGTAGAGTAAATTCAAGGGTGACAAGGTTTCGCCAAATACAAAAATCTGAAGTGTGCAAAAGAACTAAAATAAAAATGTGATCTACATAAAAATATAAAGCTACCAGGTACTCGAAGTGCAATACGATAAAAATTCTACATATGTAAACAATGTTACGCTCTGGTGCTAGCTTTTTTATAAAAAGTTAAAAGATAAATGAAAATTTGCAAAGAAGCTTGATTTTCAGCAAAAAAAAAAAACAGAAAAAAATATGTTACATTTGTATAAGCAAAGCTATAGAATATCTACAGCTTACGAAACTCTATATATTTTTAGCAATATTGTCTGAGTATATGAAAATAACTGAGAGGATTGAAGCAGAAATGTTAAATGCTTTGATTAGGGAACACTTTATAGGATTATCTACTGAGGTATCAATATAGAATGTTACACACACAGATATACTGTAGATACTACCGTAGGAGAATTATTGATTGTTTGATGATACAAAAGAAACACTCATTATATTAGTATCTTCAAACTGATACACAATTATATTATAATGAATAATATGTTATATGAATAATACATACTGTAAAACTATTATGAAGAAAGATTGTACAGAGGTTTAGAAAAAGACCCACTCAAATACTTCAGAACTATTTTGATCAAAAATTCAAAATTCAATCATTTTCTCCCAATCGATGATTCTTTACAAAGGACAGCCTGACAGAAGTTTACTAAAGCCCCACTTTAATATTTCAGAATAATCAGTTTTTCAAAATCAAGTAATTTTCTCCAAATCAATCATTCATTAAAAAAGCATCGCCTGATTAAGCATTATAAACATGAAAGATGACATACATGTGTATATTACTTCTTAATTTTGATTTTAAAACTATTATTTTAGTGTTTATCTAATATCTAAAGTTGAGATTAAAGTGCTACTGATATCACACCAAACTTGGACACTAATTTCTAAGATTTAAAATGGACCTTCAAAAATAGTTTTAATTATGATCACACAAACTATTTCAATACAGAAAAAAATACAGAAAAAAAATCCAAGTTATTTTTCTTTATGGTGACATACCGGTACGAACACTTCATATTAAAAAAGGCTATGAAATGAACTCTCAACCACACTGAGTTAGGCTCAATAGGAGAAGACTATTCCCGTCACCACAGGAACCATACCTTTTTATGACAGACCATCACAGTTACCAATTATAGAAGGTTTAAAAATATATATATAAACTCATCCTAAAGTCTTGTTTTTAATAATCAAATAGACAGGAATTTCCTTCAAATCTAATTTTTCAAAGAAATATGTAATGGGAAAATACATTTGAAATAAATTTTCTTTACCGACAATATTTCACAACAACCAATGATATTTTTTCATGAGACAGTGACGTCTACTTGTTTTTAAATGTTTAAAAGTTTTGGATAGCATCTATCAATAAAAAGGTATGATTCTTGAAAGAAAATATTTCAGAGTCAAATGTTGGAAGCAGCGGTTTGGAAAACGGGTCTGCAACACAGAAATTTGTCACCATGGAAACTGAAAAAACACTGGCAGCAGAAAAGATAGAATTAACATAGTTAATACATGTATACAGTAATCAATGTATTATCAATGCAGCATTGGTTGGGATCAAATCTGACAGGTACAGGTTTAAACATGTTCTGGTTTTCGCCCATTCACCCCTACAGTCACACTTGAACCTTATCAAATCAAAGACTGGGCAAGTCCAGTTTAGATATGTAGGGGTGAATGAGTAAACATGATTCAAACGGGGATTACATTGTTTTCCCCTTCATTTGGTGCTCCTTTATCATAAGTACAATTAACGTTGTCATTATCAATTTGTTTTTGTTTTTGATTTTCAGAACACAAGTGATGGACAGATACATCCCTGACATAATGATATTCTTCAGACACTCAGTGTATTGTATCGTTTTTTAAATTTTGTTGGGCTTTAAACTTTTGTAATTAAGATATCAGAACATTTTTCACGTAGATTAAATTTCCTCCAGTCATTATCATAACATACCAGATATGTCTTTCATCTTTATTTTTCATAGAATGTTCTTTTTGCATCAATTTAATTTATCTTACAGAGAATAAAAATAAATTAAAATACTGCGAAAATATAAGCAAATACTGCGAAAATATAAGCAATAATATTGCAAGAAAGATATTTCTGAAATATTTCAATGTCAAGACTCAAAATATGTTTTCTTTTTAACTGTCAAATATGGAACCAACACAATGCTAGTTTAACAATGGAACTGGCAGGTAGAAAAGTGGAGGTCCTCAGAGTTGGACCGGAGAATCTGTGATGACTGTGTAAATAAGATTTCAGATATTGTGTACGATGACAGTGAAAAGAATGCTGAATAATTTCTCAAAATCTCAGTAGTTGCGTCTTAGAATTTGATCTGTGGGTATCCTGGTATGTCTATGATAGCGTAATTAGTTAATGATGTGTGGGATCTAAAACAATAGAGTGTGGTTATACAGCACACAATTTTCTGGCAGTAGCTACTACCGATATACTATACCTGTCGAGTCGCCAACTGTAGGTAGACATCATCACAAGGGATATGTAGTCATTTATCGTAATACAACACACCTTTACTATCTCTAGAAGGTTCCGACACCAAATTCTGCACATGAGGATAGAATTTCCGTACTCAACATACCTACATACTGATCGCCTCTTTGTCTCCCACCTCTAAACCCTTTCAACCCTAGGTAGCTTTGATGGACTCTACCGTGCATTTATGGGGATGAGTCCATTATGGTCTACGGTGGTGAAAGGGTTAACCAAAATTTTGATAAAACACATAATGGGCAATGCAAATGTCTAAACAACTACATAACACATACAGAAACTAAGGCCAATATTTGGAAAGAACAGAAAAAAGAATGGTACACCGATGATACACCTCAAATTTATAGATCCATATATATAAGACCTTCAGGGCAAGCTTATGGATAACTCTTATGTTCCTGGAGTGGTGTTACTTGACGATGGCAAGACTGTCAGTCAGTAAACCAATGTTTTGATGGGCTTTTAATTGTGACATCATAATATAACGCCTTCGGCTGATTGTGATGTCATGATAGTAAATGTCACCGAGTGCAACCATTCAGGATTCCCGTATCCCACATGGTTGTTCCGTATGGGACACGTCTATCTTACATACGTAGAGGTGGGAGAAAGAGCTGTCATAATGCTGGGAATTATGTACCCTGCTACACACACTTTTGCTGAAAATGACAGCTATACTGAAGCAAGTTTGACTAAGTATCAACATCTACTTATTCTACAATATTCTACCAAGTACAGAACAGACATCCAGTCAGATCAAAACGACGTGTCCTGATCCCATTTCACAAACATTCCTCACCTTGAGGATATTGCTAAACTCAATTTTTTCAATAGGATATCATTACTGGAGTTAAGGAAAAAATCTTAAATAAAGGAAATTTTCCTGATTTCAGTAACTCTTTCCTATGGAAAATCTTAAGTTAAGGAATGTTCCGAAACAGATATTGCTGACATAAAATTTACCATGAATTACTGTTTTTCTGATCTCTACATCACATAAGTGTAAGATTACTTCTGAAATGCATCTCGATGACTGTGTTTGTCAACAGCCTATTCATATTTACACACACATATATCACAATGCTTTGATTTCGTTGCGTATTTACCACCTAGTAGTTCCATTGTTCTTTGGGATACAACTAATAAACATTAAAGCACAATTAGATAAAAATTAAAATTAAATAAAGATATACCACACTAGCACTACATTAATTAGAAAAGCATCCCCCTGTGTCATCTGGTCAGACTTCTACACCAATGTGGACAATTGTTTTGTTTAGTATCAGAGACCAACAATGAACGGTATCGTCAAATTCAATATGATGGTGCAAACAGTGTTCACCCTGTATCTGTGAGCTGTGACAATATTGCCTCCTTGACCTTGACCTTTGACACTAACCTTCAATCTTGAGCTTTGAACATACCATGAACGGTATTCTCAAATTCACAATGATGGTGCAACCAGTGTTCAACCTGTATCTGTGAGCTGTGAGATAGCCTATTTGACCTTGACCTTTAACCTTTGACATGAACCTTCAATCTTGACCTTTAATCATGAAGATTCTTGCCATACATACAAATCTAATTGATTTTCCTCCCAATAATAAGCCTATGGGTAGGTAACAATACTTTTTCAACAATTCACAAATCTAAGTACACATCCCACTACATTTCGTCCCATTGATAAACCTATGTGTATATTTGATTATCCCCCCCCCCTAAAAAAGTCCATATGTATAAATTCCGCTGCTTTTCTTCCCACTGGTAAGCCTAAACAGATACAGTATTTTCCAAACAATGCATTAATTCTTACAAAATTGATGCTTAAATTCCGTTTTACTATCGACTTAATGACCCCTCATTAACTCAGGTAGATGACACAAGGTGGCGCCGGTGAGCCAGGGTGAGAAGCAGAGATATATGGAATTGCCTTAACTAGTTCTTCCAGGTCCTTAAGGATGGTATTTATCAGATTGTGTTCCAACTTGTCAAGTTCCTGTGCCCAAACAGCGAATGCTGGTAGGAAGACCTGCTGGGCTGCGGTGATCACCCGCTCTGAGTTGTCTTTCAGGGCCGTCTGCAAAAGCTCAAACCCCTGTGGAGACAAAACAACGCAAGATTTAAAAAACTTGGAAAACACATGTGCTGGCTTTAATAGACATGGGAGTACAATGTTTTGTTCCAGATAAAAGCCCAGGTCAAGTTGACACTAACAATCCACTAGCCCAAAATAAATTTCTGCTAGCAGACAATTGCATAATAAATGGATCAAGTTGACAACATCATCTGCATCATATTCAGAAATATCTATCAGTTTTCCAATAATTATTTTCCCATATTCTATTTAACATAACGAAGATTTATTTTGCAACAAAGACAGTCATTTGGTGTTAGCTTTGAATTTTAAAGTAAGTTATATTGTGAATAGGGCTTAATAGCGTGTTTTAACATGCATAGCAAGAACTAATCAGAATTCTTGCATCATCAATGTGACATGAATGACTCTGTGTTCAGGAATTGACAGATTTGAAGGTTTTTGGCTACCTTTATGATGACAGAATTAAAGAAAAATATCTCTTACTTAAACCATCATAAACAAGTCACTAGCCTGGGGCTATTGTGCCTGCAACTTTCATTAACCCAAGCTAAAACTCTGGTAACCCGGTTTTAAACTAGTGGATTTTTTACATCCCATTCAAGTCCATTCAAGACTCTTATGACATCAAATGGTTGTATGTATGACGTACCTAACATCAAATGGTTGTATGTGTGACATACCTGACATCAAATGGTTGTATGTGTGACGTACCTACATCAAATAGTTGTATTTGTGTAGTACCTGACATCAACTGGTTGTATGTGTGACATATGTGACATCAAATGGTTGTATGTGTGACTTACCAAACACCTAATGGTTGTATGTGTGTAGTACCTGACACCAAATGGTTGTATGTGTGTAGTACCTTACATCAAATGGTTGTATGTGTGACGTACCTACATCAAATAGTTGTATTTGTGTAGTACCTGACATCAACTGGTTGTATGTGTGACATATATGACATCGAATGGTTGTATGTGTGACATACCTAACATCAAATAGTTGTATGTGTGACATTCCTGACATCAAATAGTTGTATTTGTGTAGTACCTGACATCAAATGGTTGGATGTGTGACTTACCAAACATCAAATGGTTGTATGTTTGTAGGACCTGACATCAAATGGTTGTATGTATGATATACTTGACATCAAATGGTTGACATCAAATGGTTGTATGTGTGATTTACCTAACATCAAATGGTTGTATGTGTCACATTCCTGACATCAAATGGTTGTATGTGTGATTTACCTGACATCAAATATGTGTGACATATATGACATCAAATAGTTGTATGTGTGACATATATGACATCAAATGGTTGTATGTTTGTAGGACCTGACATCAAATGGTTGTATGTATGATATACTTGACATCAAATGGTTGTATGTGTGATTTACCTGACATCAAATATGTGTGACATATATGACATCAAATGGTTGTATGTGTCACCTACCTGACATCAAATGGTTGAATGTGCGTAGTACCTGACATCAAATGGCTGCATGTGTCACATACCTGACATCAAATGGTTGGATATGTGACTTACCTAACATCAAATGGTTGTATGTGTGATATACCTGACATCAAATGATTGTATGTGTCACATACCTGACATCAAATAGTTGTATTTGTGTAGTACCTGACATCAACTGGTTGTATGTGTGACATATATGACATCGAATGGTTGTATCTGTGACATACCTAACATCAAATAGTTGTATGTGTGACATATATGACATCGAATGGTTGTATCTGTGACATACCTAACATCAAATAGTTGTATGTGTGACATATATGACATCGAATGGTTGTATGTGTGACATACCTAACATCAAATGGTTGTATGTGTCACATAGCTGACATCAAATGGTTGTATATGTGACTTACCTAAAATCAAATGGTTGTATGTGTGATATACCTGACATCAAAGGGTTGTATGTGTGACATATATGACATCGAATGGTTGTATGTGTGACATACCTAACATCAAATAGTTGTATGTGTGACATATCTGACATCAAAAAGTTGTATGTGTGACATATCTGACATCAAATAGTTGTATGTGTGACATATATGACATCGAATGGTTGTATCTGTGACATACCTAACATCAAATAGTTGTATGTGTGACATATATGACATCGAATGGTTGTATCTGTGACATACCTAACATCAAATAGTTGTATGTGTGACATATATGACATCGAATGGTTGTATCTGTGACATACCTAACATCAAATAGTTGTATGTGTGACATATATGACATTATATGGTTGTATGTGTGATATACCTGACATCAAATGGTGGTATGTGTGACATATATGACATCAAATGGTTGTATGTGTCACATACCTGACATCAAATGGGTGTATGTGTGTAGTACCTGACATCAAATGGTTGTACGTGTGACATATCTGACATTAAATGGTTGTATGTGTGACATACCTAACATCAAATGGTTGTATGTGTCACATACCTGACATCAAACGGTTGTATGTGTGACATATATGACATTATATGGTTGTATGTGTGATATACCTGACATCAAATGATTGTATGTGTCACATACCTGACATCAAAGGGTTGTATGTGTGACATATATGACATCGAATGGTTGTATCTGTGACATACCTAACATCAAATAGTTGTATGTGTGACATATATGACATCGAATGGTTGTATCTGTGACATACCTAACATCAAATAGTTGTATGTGTGACATATATGACATCAAATAGTTGTATGTGTGACATATATGACATCGAATGGTTGTATGTGTGACATACCTAACATCAAATGGTTGTATGTTTGTAGTACTTGACATCAAATGGTTGTATGTGTGTAGTACCCGACATCAAATGGTTGTATGTGTGATTTACCTGACATCAAATTGTTGTATGTTTGTAGTACCTGACATCAAATGGTTGTATGTGTGACTTACCAAACATCAAATGGTTGTATGTGTGTAGTACCTGACACCAAATGGTTGTATGTGTGTAGTACCTGACATCAAATGGTTGCATGTGTGATTTACCTGACATCAAATGGTTGTATGTGTGCTTTACCTAACATCAAATGGTTGTATGTGTGACATATCTGACATTAAATGGTTGTATGTGTGATTTACCTGACATCAAATTGTTGTATGTGTGTAGTACCTGACATCAAATGGTTGTATGTTTGACTTACCAAACATCAAATGGTTGTATGTTTGTAGTACTTGACATCAAATGGTTGTATGTGTGACATATGTGACATTAAATGGTTGTATGTGTGATTTACCTGACATCAAATTGTAGTATGTGTGTAGTACCTGACATCAAATGGTTGTATGTGTGACATATCTGACATTAAATGGTTGTATGTGTGACTTACCTAACATCAAATGGTTGTATGTGTGATTTACCTAACATCAAATGGTTGTATGTGTGTAGAACCTGACACCAAATGGTTGTATGTGTCACATACATGACATCAAATGGTTGCATGTGTGATTTACCTGACATCAAAGGTTGTTTGTCTGACGTACCTAACAATAAATTATTGTATGTCTGACATACCTGACATCAAATAGTTTTATGTATGTTATACTTGACATCAAATGGTTGTATGTTTGTAGACCTGACATCAAATGGTTGTATGTATGATATACTTGACATCAAATGGTTGTATGTGTGTAGTACCTTACATCAAATGGTTGTATGTGTGACGTACCTGACATCAAATAGCTGTATTTGCGACATATATGACATCAAATGGTCGTTTGTTTGTAGACCTGACATCAAATGGTTGTATGTATGATATACTTGACATCAAATGGTTGTATGTGTGATATACCTGACATCAAATGGTTGTATGTGTGACATATATGACATCAAATGGTTGTATGTTTGTAGACCTGACATCAAATGGTTGTATGTGTGACATATATGACATCAAATGGTTGTTTGTGTGATGTACCTGACATCAAATGGTTGTATGTATGATATACCTGACATCAAATGTTTGTATGTGTGACATACCTGACATCAAATGGTTGTATGTGTGACATTTATGACATCAAATGGTTGTATGTGTGACATATATGACATCAAATGGTTGTATGTGTGATATACCTGACATCAAATGGTTGTATGTGTGACATATCTGACATCAAATGGTTGTATGTGTGACGTACCTGACATCAAATGGTTGTATGTGTGACGTACCTGACATCAAATGGTTGTATGTGTGACGTACCTGACATCAAATGGTTGTATGTGTGACATACCTGACATCAAATGGTTGTATGTGTGACATATATGACATCAAATGGTTGTATGTGTGATATACCTGACATCAAATGGTTGTATGTGTGACATATCTGACATCAAATGGTTGTATGTGTGACGTACCTGACATCAAATGGTTGTATGTGTGACGTACCTGACATCAAATGGTTGTATGTGTGACGTACCTGACATCAAATGGTTGTATGTGTGACATACCTGACATCAAATGGTTGTATGTGTGACATACCTGACATCAAATGGTTGTATGTGTGACATATATGACATCAAATGGTTGTATGTGTGAAATACCTGACATCAAATGGTTGTATGTGTGACATATATGACATCAAATGGTTGTATGTGTGACATACCTGACATCAAATGGTTGTATGTGTGTAGTACCTGACATCAAATGGTTGTATGTGTGACATATATGACATCAAATGGTTGTATGTGTGACATACCTGACATCAAATGGTTGTATGTGTGACATATCTGACATCAAATGGTTGTATGTGTGACATATATGACATCAAATGGTTGTATGTGTGACATACCTGACATCAAATGGTTGTATGTGTGACATATATGACATCAAATGGTTGTATGTGTGACATACCTGACATCAAATGGTTGTATGTGTGACATATCTGACATCAAATGGTTGTATGTGTGTAGTACCTGACATCAAATGGTTGTATGTGTGACATATATGACATCAAATGGTTGTATGTGTGACATACCTGACATCAAATGGTTGTATGTGTGACATATCTGACATCAAATGGTTGTATGTGTGTAGTACCTGACATCAAATGGTTGTATGTGTGACATACCTGACATCAAATGGTTGTATGTGTGACATATATGACATCAAATGGTTGTATGTGTGACATACCTGACATCAAATGGTTGTATGTGTGACATATCTGACATCAAATGGTTGTATGTGTGTAGTACCTGACATCAAATGGTTGTATGTGTGACATACCTGACATCAAATGGTTGTATGTGTGACATATATGACATCAAATGGTTGTATGTGTGACATACCTGACATCAAATGGTTGTATGTGTGACATACCTAACATCAAATGGTTGTATGTGTGTAGTACCTGACATCAAATGGTTGTATGTGTGATATACCTGACATCAAATGGTTGTATGTGTGACATATATGACATCAAATGGTTGTATGTGTGACATACCTGACATCAAATGGTTGTATGTGTGACATATCTGACATCAAATGGTTGTATGTGTGTAGTACCTGACATCAAATGGTTGTATGTGTGACATACCTGACATCAAATGGTTGTATGTGTGACATATATGACATCAAATGGTTGTATGTGTGACATACCTGACATCAAATGGTTGTATGTGTGACATATCTGACATCAAATGGTTGTATGTGTGTAGTACCTGACATCAAATGGTTGTATGTGTGACATACCTGACATCAAATGGTTGTATGTGTGACATATATGACATCAAATGGTTGTATGTGTGACATACCTGACATCAAATGGTTGTATGTGTGACATATCTGACATCAAATGGTTGTATGTGTGTAGTACCTGACATCAAATGGTTGTATGTGTGATATACCTGACATCAAATGGTTGTATGTGTGACATATATGACATCAAATGGTTGTATGTGTGACATACCTGACATCAAATGGTTGTATGTGTGACATATCTGACATCAAATGGTTGTATGTGTGTAGTACCTGACATCAAATGGTTGTATGTGTGATATACCTGACATCAAATGGTTGTATGTGTGACATATATGACATCAAATGGTTGTATGTGTGACATACCTGACATCAAATGGTTGTATGTGTGACATATCTGACATCAAATGGTTGTATGTGTGTAGTACCTGACATCAAATGGTTGTATGTGTGACATACCTGACATCAAATGGTTGTATGTGTGACATATATGACATCAAATGGTTGTATGTGTGACATACCTGACATCAAATGGTTGTATGTGTGAAATACCTAACATCAAATGGTTGTATGTGTGTAGTACCTGACATCAAATGGTTGTATGTGTGACATACCTGACATCAAATGGTTGTATGTGTGACATATATGACATCAAATGGTTGTATGTGTGACATACCTGACATCAAATGGTTGTATGTGTGTAGTACCTGACATCAAATGGTTGTATGTGTGACATATATGACATCAAATGGTTGTATGTGTGACATACCTGACATCAAATGGTTGTATGTGTGACATATCTGACATCAAATGGTTGTATGTGTGTAGTACCTGACATCAAATGGTTGTATGTGTGACGTACCTGACATCAAATGGTTGTATGTGTGACGTACCTGACATCAAATGGTTGTATGTGTGACGTACCTGACATCAAATGGTTGTATGTGTGATATACCTGACATCAAATGGTTGTATGTGTGACATATATGACATCAAATAGTTGTATTTGTGTAGTACCTGACATCAAATAGTTGAATGTATGGCATACCTGAGAAAATTTGTCAGTATCACAGATAAAGCCAAAGAGTAGACCGAGACTCCTGACCACCGCCTCCCGCACCTCCTCATCCTTATCATCACTCAGCATCTGCTGCAGCATGGACAGCACTAGTGAGCTCAGGATCTCATTCTGAAAGTACATAGTGAGCTTTACAGTTTACACCCATAACAGTAAATACCCACAACATTGAGCTCAGTCTATCTTTCTGAAACTAAATAGTGAGCTTTACAGTTTACACCCATAACAGTGAGCTTCGGATCTCCTTCTGAAAGTACATAGTGAGCTTTACAGTTTACACCCATAACAGTAAATACCCACAACATTGAGCTCAGTCTATCTTTCTGAAACTAAATAGTGAGCTTTACAGTTTACATCCACAACAGTAATCTGTCTCTTGTTTTAAGAGTAGGAATTGAGCTTTCCTGTTTACAAACACAACTGTGACCTCAGTCTCTTGTCCTGAAAGTAGATAGTGAGCTTTACAGTATATACCCACAACATTGAGCTCAGTCTATCTTTCTGAAACTAAATAGTGAGCTTTACAGTTTACACCCATAACAGTGAGCTCAGGATCTCCTTCTGAAAGTACATAGTGAGCTTTACAGTTTACAAACACAACTGTGACCTCAGTCTCTTGTTTTGAAAGTAGAAAGTGAGCTTTACAGTATACATCCACAAAGTGAGCTCAAGATCTCTTTCTGAAAGTAAATAGTGAGCTTATAGTATACATCCATAAAGTGAGTTTAGGATATCTTTTTGAAAGTAAATGTTGAGCTTTAAAGTATATACACACAATAGTAAGCTCAGCATATTTTTTAGTCAAAATGCTGGAGGTTTTACAGATGTTCTGTTTGTTTTGGCTCTGTATTTCTAAAGGCTCATTTATAGTACCATACAAGTTGAACAGCCCAGCACAGACACTCTAATACCCTATCCAGACCATATTAAACGCCACTCTAGGCAGGCGGAATAGAGCAACAAGGCTGAAGTGTGTTGCTCAAAGACACTGCCACATCCCATCCTACAACCTAGTAATATATAGGCTAGCACACCTAAAGTGAGCTGATATAATGAAATGTAAGTGAGCAAAATACTATAGCAATAGTAATTAGAACATAAGCTTTAAAGTATCAAATTCAACAATAGTAAACTCATGATCTTAAGGGCAAACAGTTAGCAGTATAATATTTAATGAGCTCAGAGTACCATTCTACATTTAATACAAGAATTGCACAGGAGTGGATGTGTCGCCCGCGCAGGCAATTCTACACCTTCGCTAGCCAAGTGTTCGCTTCGTATACACTCCACTTACCCTTGGCGGATATAGCTGTGTTTTCATAATTCCCTCCACTGCCACCTAGCGGATATACCGAGTTATTGCTCTTCTCCCAATTTTTTTTAAACAATCAGAATGACCGTTACATACACACTCCATCGGCGTGTTGACAAAAGCATGTGTATGTCGAGGCGGAGTATAAATGACAGATCAATATGGAAACAATCCAAAGGCAGCACACATATTTTCCCAGGTCATCATTTACATGTGGCACGTAGTCAAGGATTTCCACCAACTGATATAACTCCAGAAGTTTCCCCAAAGATCGTGCACCTATTTTTTGGGGGCAAAACGCTGTGACATAAACGACAACGTGCTTCTGTACTGGGCGTCGCCATTACTGTTTTCCTTCGTCAACAGCTCTATATGTAGGACACGATTTCATTGGATGCAAGCGATTGGCACTGCACGAAAATTTGAAGGCTCGGTAAACCCAACTATATACGCAAAGGGTAAGTGGAGTGTATACGAAGCGAACACTTGGCTAGTGAAGATGGCAATTCTAATGAGGAAGCAATCCCAAGCAAGCACTTTTAGTAAGGAAGCAGCGTAAGAAGATTGAGTTCAATCAACCTTAAAAACTCAGGTTATCACATGGAAACAGATTTTCTATTTATAGTAATGGTGACCTTGACCTTTGGATCTGAAAAGCAATCCCAAGCAAGCACTATTTGTAAGAAAGCACTGTATGAAGTCTGAGCTCAATTGACCTAAAGGTTATCGCACAGAAACAGATTTTCTATTTATAGTAATGGTGACCTTGACCTTTGACCTTCAGATCTGAAAAGCAATTCCAAGCAAACACTTTTCGTAAGAAAACACTGTATGAAGTCTGAGTTCAATCAACCCAAGGAAACTCAAGTTATCACACGGAAAACTTGTTTCAGATGATGGAACCTACGCCGCCAATGATGTAATACCTATATGTCGCCTTGTGTTGCAGGCAACACAATAAACAGTAAACTCATGATCTCTAGGGCAAATAGTGAATAGTACAATGTATAGTGAGCCCAGAGTAACATGCTACATGTAGTATACTCACAGGTAGGTAGGAAGCCAGGGCCCCACACGCCTCCGCCACCAGTATTCTCCTCTCTACGTACTTGTGGCTGATCTGAGGGGAACAATCACACTATCAGTATACACAGCTTAGGTCACACAAACTTATCACTGCTGTCAAACACTTATAATTTGCAGGAAATAACCATTCACGAGGAGACTCATTCATGAATTTAAAACTTCTGTGAATATTAAACATATCAATTTTCTATATACATCTATACTGATAGAGCAAACACTCAATCATACATTCAAATAAAACCTACATTGGCATAAAATAAAGTCATGTAAATATCATGATTTACAAGTATTTGGTACAAGATAATTTTGAGATCTTTGAACAAATACTCCTAGACAGTAACCACAAGCTGTTAACAAATACTCCTAGACAGTAACCACAAGCTGTTAACAAATACTCCTAGACAGTAACCACAAGCTGTTAACAAATACTCCTAGACAGTAACCACAAGCTGTTAACAAATACTCCTAGACAGTAACCACAAGCTGTTAACAAATACTCCTAGACAGTAACCACAAGCTGTTAACAAATACTCCTAGACAGTAACCACAAGCTGTTAACAAATACTCCTAGACAGTAACCACAAGCTGTTAACAAATACTCCTAGACAGTAACCACAAGCTGTTAACAAATACTCCTAGACAGTAACCACAAGCTGTTAACAAATACTCCTAGACAGTAACCACAAGCTGTTAACAAATACTCCTAGACAGTAACCACAAGCTGTTAACAAATACTCCTAGACAGTAACCACAAGCTGTTAACAAATACTCCTAGACAGTAACCACAAGCTGTTAACAAATACTCCTAGACAGTAACCACAAGCTGTTAACAAATACTCCTAGACAGTAACCACAAGCTGTTAACAAATACTCCTAGACAGTAACCACAAGCTGTTAACAAATACTCCTAGACAGTAACCACAAGCTGTTAACAAATACTCCTAGACAGTAACCACAAGCTGTTAACAAAGAAAAAGAAGTCAATTGTGTTGGATAAAATTTGTTACCTATTTTTAAAACTTCAAATTGCAAACAAATTGAAAAGGACTTTATGATTACTTGGATAAGTCAGCTGGTGAGAAGCAATTTTTACTGATAGTTTGTGAAAAATACAATTGTGTGATTCTGTTGAGTTTTTCACAGTTACACATGTCCTGATCAACAACCAACCCATTCGTAGATCACTACTTATCTAAGAGGAAGTCATGAGCATAGTTTCCATGGTTACCTGTTCCCAACACTGCGGTAGGAGCTCCTCCATGAGTCGAGCTTGTCCCACATGTTGGGCAAACGCTACACATCCTGTCAGGATCATCTGTCTGTAAACAAACAATTATGGTCAGTAGACTGGGTATCTCGCAGGATATAAACATTACACTTTAGAAAAAGAAAGACTGAACATCCTATACTTATAGCATTAGCCATTGCATTTTAGATTTTCAATGTACAATTATTAAACAACCTATATTCAAAGCATTAGCCATTGGGTTTTTTAAGGAAAATTAAACCACCTTTTCTCATAGCATTAATCACTATCTTTCTATATACACAACAGAACAACCAATACTTAAAAGCTTTAACTCATTCACCCCAGAAGACACATTTAAACTCTTCCAATTCAAATGTTGGAATAGTTCATTATGAAATTTCAGGGGTGAATGGGTTAATCAATCTAAATTTAATTAATCACTCATTTTAAAATCTTTTATATGCAACTAAGTTCATAGTCAAATAATCACAAAAGGCAAACCTTTGTTCATCATCTGGCTTCTTGATGAGGTTAAACAGGATGTTGAGTAGTTGGTCTCTCTCCTTCTGGTCAGGGTGTAACATGGCCGTACACAGGATCAGGGGAATTAACTCCTGTGGACAATGTCAACGATATCAGCATTGTATACAGGTAGATATAATACCCAGGATCAGGGGAATTAACTCCTGTGGACAGTGTCAGCGATATCAGCATTGTATACAGGTAGATATGATACACAGGATCAGGGGAATTAACTCCTGTGGACAATGTCAACGATATCAGCATTGCATACAGGTAGATATAATACACAGGATCAGGGGAATTAACTCCTGTGGTAATGTCACCAATATCAGCATTGTATACAGGTAGATATATACACAGAATCAGGGGAATTAACTCCTGTGGACAATGTCACCAATATCAGCATTGTATACAGGTAGATATAATACACAGGATCAGGGGAATTACGAAAATTAATCACATCTTTCTAACGTGTACGGTAAATATATTGTAATAGGTTGTTAATTTCATCACGTCGTCTTTTGCACATTGCGTCATTGGAGAGTTCCAAATTTGTGACGTTCCGTCATTGTCAAGATATTGTGATGTCACGTCACGTGAAATGGATTGTAAGATAGAAATTTCCTGCACCCCTTTCTTACCCTGGACAGCTCTATCCTACACACAGGGAAATGAGAGAAATGTGTATCTTGAGAGGAACCTTGGATTTCTGAAATGGCTTTCTTTAGACACAAGTACATATACATGTGTAACACATGTGTCACTCACTATGTGTGTGACATGTCACTTACTTCTCTCTTGGCCAGGAGGACGTTGGGTACTATATGAGGTAGACATCGCCCAAGCATCAATACAACGTTGTCCTTGTTGAAGCCCGCAATCTGAGACACCTGTAAATACAGCAGCAAATCAGGTCATAACAAACACCTATCAACAATCGGAGACACCTGTAAATAAAGCAGCAAATTAGGTCATAACAAACACCTATCAACAATCTGAGACACCTGTAAATACAGCAGCAAATCAGGTCATCACAAACATCTATCAACAATCTGAGACACCTGTAAATAAAGCAGCAAATCAGGTCATAACAAACACCTATCAACAATCTGAGACACCTGTAAATATAGCAGCAAATCAGTTTATCACAAACATATATGTACCAACAATCTAAGACACCTGTAAATACAGCAGCAAATCAGGTCATAACAAACATCTATCAACAATCTGAGACACCTGTAAATACAGCAGCAAATCAGGTCATAACAAACACCTATGTACCAACAATTGGAGACACCTGTAAATCCAGCAGCAAATTAGGTCATAACAAACACCTCTCAACAATCTGAGACACCTGTAAATACAGCAGCAAATCAGGTTATAACAAACATCTATCAACAATCTGAGACACCTGAAAATACAGCAGCAAATCAGGTCATAACAAATATCTATCAACAATCTGAGACACCTGAAAATACAGCAGCAAATTAGGTCATAACAAACACCTATCAACAATCTGAGACACCTGTAAATAAAGCAGCAAATCAGGTCATAACAAACACCTATGTACCAACAATTGGAGACACCTGAAAATACAGCAGCAAATTAGGTAATAAAAAACACCTATCAACAATCTGAGACACCTGTAAATAAGGCAGCAAATCAGGTCATAACAAACACCCATCAACAATCTGAGACACCTGTAAATACAGCAGCAAATCAGATTATAACAAACATCTATCAACAATCTGAGACACCTGAAAATACAGCAGCAAATCAGGTTATAACAAACACCTATCAACAATCTGAGACACCTGAAAATACAGCAGCAAATCAGGTTTTAACAAACACCTATCAACAATCTGAGACACCTGAAAATACAGCAGCAAATCAGTTTATCACAAACATCTATCAACAATCTGAGACACCTGTAAATAAAGCAGCAAATTAGGTCATAACAAACACCTATCAACAATCTGAGACACCTGAAAATACAGCAGCAAATTAGGTCATAACAAACACCTATCAACAATCTGAGACACCTGTAAATACAGCAGCAAATCAGGTCATAACAAACACCTATCAACAATCTGAGACACCTGTAAATACAGCAGCAAATCAGGTCATAACAAACACCTATCAACAATCTGAGACACCTGTAAATACAGCAGCAAATCAGGTCATAACAAACACCTATCAACAATCTGAGACACCTGTAAATACAGCAGCAAATCAGGTCATAACAAACACCTATCAACAATCTGAGACACCTGTAAATACAGCAGCAAATCAGGTCATAACAAACACCTATCAACAATCTGAGACACCTGTAAATACAGCAGCAAATCAGGTCATAACAAACACCTATCAACAATCTGAGACACCTGTAAATACAGCAGCAAATCAGGTCATAACAAACACCTATCAACAATCTGAGACACCTGTAAATACAGCAGCAAATCAGGTCATAACAAACACCTATCAACAATCTGAGACACCTGTAAATACAGCAGCAAATCAGGTCATAACAAACACCTATCAACAATCTGAGACACCTGTAAATACAGCAGCAAATCAGGTCATAACAAACACCTATCAACAATCTGAGACACCTGTAAATACAGCAGCAAATCAGGTCATAACAAACACCTATCAACAATCTGAGACACCTGTAAATACAGCAGCAAATCAGGTCATAACAAACACCTATCAACAATCTGAGACACCTGTAAATACAGCAGCAAATCAGGTCATAACAAACACCTATCAACAATCTGAGACACCTGTAAATACAGCAGCAAATCAGGTCATAACAAACACCTATCAACAATCTGAGACACCTGTAAATACAGCAGCAAATCAGGTCATAACAAACACCTATCAACAATCTGAGACACCTGTAAATACAGCAGCAAATCAGGTCATAACAAACACCTATCAACAATCTGAGACACCTGTAAATACAGCAGCAAATCAGGTCATAACAAACACCTATCAACAATCTGAGACACCTGTAAATACAGCAGCAAATCAGGTCATAACAAACACCTATCAACAATCTGAGACACCTGTAAATACAGCAGCAAATCAGGTCATAACAAACACCTATCAACAATCTGAGACACCTGTAAATACAGCAGCAAATCAGGTCATAACAAACACCTATCAACAATCTGAGACACCTGTAAATACAGCAGCAAATCAGGTCATAACAAACACCTATCAACAATCTGAGACACCTGTAAATACAGCAGCAAATCAGGTCATAACAAACACCTATCAACAATCTGAGACACCTGTAAATACAGCAGCAAATTAGGTTATAACAAACACCTATCAACAATCTGAGACACCTGTATATACAGCAGCAAATCAGGTTATAACAAACACCTATCAACAATCTGAGACACCTGTAAATATAGCAGCAAATCAGGTCATAACAAACATCTATCAACAATCTGAGACACCTGTAAATACAGCAGCAAATCAGGTTATAACAAACACCTATCAACAATCTGAGACACCTGTAAATACAGCAGCAAATTAGGTCATAACAAACACCTATCAACAATCTGAGACACCTGTAAATAAAGCAGCAAATTAGGTCATAACAAACATCTATCAACAATCTGAGACACCTGAAAATATAGCAGCAAATCAGTTTATCACAAACATCTATGTACCAACAATCTAAGACACCTGTAAATATAGCAGCAAATCAGGTCATAACAAACATCTACCAACAATCTGAGACACCTGAAATGGTATATTTGAATGTGTCTACTAGAAACCTAGGTCACACTTTTTCCATCAAACACTTGATAAAATACAGGTAACCCTAGGCCCCTTTTGTTTATTGCAATCTAAACATTTGAACCAACTGGACCAAAGTTGTTCGTTTATTACATAAGGTCTGACCTAGTAATCTGATGCTGCTTTTAGGTGAGCTTTGATGAAGCCTTGCAAGGCCTGCATGCACTTTTGCAGGTACGTCAGGGTTTATATCGAAAATGTTCAATTTAAAAACAGACAAACCCTTTGTTCTACAGGTAGTCTACCATCATGGTTGCCACTCTTTAATACATGAATGAATCAGTATTAGACCACCATTGGTTTATTAACGATCTTGATGTGAATAGAATGTTACCATCTGTACATTTACAGCATTATTTTCAAATATACACCCCCCCCCCCTTTACAAAAAAAAATTGTCTTTGAATAAGGTAAGGGAGATAACTCAATATCTGCGGGGTTGTTTGACTTACCTCACTTACAATCCGGTTGTCTTTGGATACATGAAAGCATACATCTAACAGGGCCTTCTTAAATGTTGATGGTAGGTTCCTGTCACAAAACAAAACTCGGTTATTATGGATTGGTCCAAATCAGAATTCATGAAAATTAAGTGGTTTGCCATCAAAATAAAACTGTCAGAAACCAGAGAGTTTTTTTCAATAAGCATGGTTGCACAATTATTTTGACATCGTCGAAATTCCAGGGGTTACAGTTACTTACATTTTCTGCAACCCTAGAATATGTCATGGCAAAATTGTGATTCGTTTGATGTACATCAATGGATCAGACCAGTCTATTTGTATCCATCCTCGATATCCAGGGGTTACGCTCACTTTTGCTCTCTACACCCCTGGAATATGTCGTAGCAAAATTGAGGCTCAGTGTGCGCCACCTTGTGGATGAGACAGGAAGACTTGTTCAATCCTTTGATATACATCAAAAGAATCTCGCGGTCACGTAATGGTAAAAATTGGCAGGCTTTGAAGTCAGGCGTCTCTCCTTTACCGGAGATCAATCAGACAGCTATCTTCGTGCCTTCAATTTTGCTATGACATATTCCAGGGGTGTAGAGAGGGAAAGTGAGCATAACCCCTGGATATCGAGGATGACTTGTATCAACCATAAGGTGATGCAGACAGATCCTTTAATTTGGTCATGATATATTCCAGGGTGCAGAAAACGTTGAGAAGGTAACCCCTGGAATTCTAGAATGTTATTTTGACTGTTTATTAAAACTCCAATGGAGCCAAGACTTTGTTGAAGATTTACCTTCCGTTTGGATTTTCATTTTCCTCTGATTCCTCCTTCTCCTTTTTACTGCTTTCAGGTGTATTTATGACAACAAAATCACTATTTCCTTCATCTTGGTCCTCAGAATGCTTGCTTTCATTGAGATCTGACCTTGACATTTTATTGTCCTCTACATAGTTCATGTCAATGTCATCACCATTGTTAATGTCAATTGTGTTTTCTCCTACATCAGCAGATTTGGCAGTTTTTGCGGGGGAGTCGACAGCATCTATACCCCTATTTTGTTGTGGTATGGATTTCGTCACCTCTAAAGAATTCTGTAATTCTGCTTTTAATCTGAAACGATAAAATAAAGCTAGATGAGCACTTAACAAGTACATACAGTAACTTGTGTGATTAACTCATTCACCCCTGAAGTGTCATAATGAACTATTCCAACTTTTGAATTGGAAGAGTTCAAATGCGTCTCCAGGGGTGAATGAGTTAAACTATTTCACTACACCAATCATACTTACATACAGGTCTGATAACAGAGTCTCCCAACCATTCACTAGAATCATTCTGAATGTAAACTGCAAAATGTTAGGTCAAAGAAGAAGGAACCTATATACCATATCGGATAAGTATCCTTTTTCACCCAGCCATTAGAAAAGGTGAGTTTGTTCCATGGTTAAGTTACAATGGTTTATGTAGCAGAAGAAATGCAACGGCCAGACCGGGGTTCAAACCCGGGACCTACCAAACTCTAGATGAACGCTCTACCAATTGAACTATCAGGTTGGTTGACAATCGACCCAGTACAGTTCCGCTACATTCCTCCCTCCTTTCTCTAAATCTTTGCCTTCGAAGACACAACTATTTACAATTCATGTTCAGATATCCCCTTGCCAAGGGGGTTGGCAAGCTCATCAAGTTTGTAACAGGAGAAAAAGAAATGCAACAGCCAGACAAGATATGAACCTGGGACCCTCCAAACTCAAGACGAAAGCTCTACCAATTGACGATCGACCCAGTCCAGTTCCGCTACATTTATATATTTACAATGTTAACCTGAAACCACTCCCTACCTGCACATCTCTGAGAGCTGGTCTTGTAGATCTACTTTCTCTGTTTGTATCAGTAAAACTTGGTCTTCAAGTTCTTTGTTCTGGAAATCCTGAAAAAAATAATCCTAGATTTAGTTTAAAATATTTCAAAACTCCAACGTTAATTCTGACAATAATCCTTATATAAATTAGTGCAGTTGGCCGGACTTCTTCCCTTGTTTTTTAATTACAGCAAAAATCAAAATAGAGTATTTATGTCACTCTACAATAGAGACTATGGTCAATAGTCGCACATAAAATAGTACAATTTAGATAACAATAAATTACTTTTAAACATGAAAAGATTGAAATTAAACACAAGAAGAAGTACATCTAGCTTCAAAAAAATGTCTTAGTCATGTTATCCCTATATGATTACCTATTCCGTCTTTGCGTATTGCAGAGTTATCTTCTCTTGAGAGCAGGTATTGATTGTTACGTCATTGGTTCGTGTGAGAAAATTACGTTGTTTTCTCAAAAACTGATGACGTTACTCTCACAAACAAATGACGTAAAAGTCAATACCTGCTCTCAAGAGAAGATAACTCTGCAATACGCAAAGACGGAATATTATTCTCCCAATAAGAGGACATGAAAAAACACATATTACATCAAAACATTGACCTATGTTAGCGATAAAGATCAACTCATTCACCCCTGAAATTTCATAATGAACTATTCCAACATTTGAATTGGAAGAGTTCAAATGTGTCTTCAGGTGTGAATGAATTATTTAAATACTTGATAGTGCTGCCCTCCTATCCTTACCAACTGTTCCTTCATTGTGATCCACTCCTGTTCAAGTTCTCCAATACGATCTTCTTCTAGATTTACCCAGCATTCCACATTGTTTGTTTCTACTTCCTGTATTACATGACTACCATAGTCTTTATACAGATGCAGGAGATCTGGTGGTCTTGGAATGTTTAATCCAACATCATCCCAGTCTTCAAAATCCTGGGAAAATTTCAGTTTTAATATTTATTTTTGATAAAAAAATATAACATAGCTTCATTTTTCTACTTTCTTATCATTATTTTTTTTTCTTCAATTTTAACACATAATCTTTACAAACTTACTTGGTCCTCATTTTCTTCACTGAATGTAACAGAGGTGAGTTTGTAATTGTTCATCAGGAGATACTCATTCACAAGGTAATTGAGTGCTCTCTTGTCAAGGGGCCGTATTGGATCGTCTTTACCAATCTGTGTAAACCCTTCAGCCACATTCTCTGTACATTCGTTTTCTAAAATGTAAAAAAAGATTACCAAAAAATCTTGGGATTCTATTACTTTTGACCAAATGTTATCGCTTGTTTCAGGTTGAATACCAAAAGCATATCTTTTTCCTTAAACTTGCTTTTCCAGTTATTTACTACACTGTGATATGTAATTATATCCATATTTGGTATGTGCTCAAAGTCAATGAAAGGTTTCATTGTACCATCCTCTTTAAATATGTCACCAACAATGTATCTAAGTTAAATTATTTCCGCAATATATAGATCTTATTTTTTTTTACTGAAATTAAATTCAATATGTTTTCCTCTAGAAATTCATTGACCTATGATGTTTCGTTCTGAATTTCTGCTAATGCCAAAAGTGTATCCTTCCAAAAGGGATCAATTACAGATAAGAAATTGTCCAGGTTTATGCTGTTTAACGAACATGGTTGCAATAAGGTAATTTCAGTACATCATCTAAAATCATTCTACATGTTCCATTTTGCATCTGTATACATTCTCTTGATCCACTTAATGTTAATTTATATCATAAAGGAAGGAATATGTGTAAGATTTAGACCCACTATTACTAATTATTTCAGGAATCAATGTATCTCTTTTCATCTTATCCACATTACCTAGTCAACAGAGTTGTATTCTAATCTTACTGGATTTGGCAAAGTGCTAAAAAGATGTACAAAGCCAAGTAATATTATAGCTTTTAATTTTACCTATATTGCTATAGAGGAATTGCCAATGCACAAAATAAAAAATCTATAAATGAATTCCTTGCCCAGGAAAGTAAATCCAGGTTATGAATATATATATATATATATATATATATATGTATGTATAGAAAAAATAATATTCCTAGACAAAATAACAGTTGCCAAGTGGGAATTTTTTTCATGATTACAACAGAAATTTACCTGCTTCCTTGGTTAGGCTGGCTCGGAGTGATTTAATTGTTTCTTGTGCCTTCCGCAGTTCAAATTCAAGCACTAAGGAGGTAAAAGTAAAATCAAGATATTGCGCAGATTTTCAAATATTTCAAGAAAATTAATCTCTGAAATATTATTTTTAATACTAATATTTAATGTGCAAAAAATCTTATAAAGTATGCACTGTTAATAACAATAATTAACCAAGCACTTATGCGAATAAAAATGATGAATAAGTGTCATGTTCAGTCAGTTTCGTTACCTGCAACACGTTCATCCACTTGACCAGCTCCATCATCAGAATACCTTGCAAAGTCAAGGGAATCAAATGTCTGAATGCTGGAGGTTCTTGCTGCAAGAACAATATATGCATATTTATGCAAATTTTAAATGTCATAGAATACAAAACCTTCTGATACCGTTTATCTTCAGCACTATCTTAGATGAAATTGATTTAATGAAACTTGCCTTACACTATCCAACACCCTGTCAGTATGGAAATAGTACAGCATGTGTTTCCGTATACACCATTTTAGTTTAACACTCTACTAGATCACACTTGATGTTTCCATTAAGATTAACAATCATGTGTCTGATGATTATACCTTTGAGAATCCATTTCTACTATAGTTAAATTACCACAAGTGATGCACATACATAGGTTTGATTTTTCTGTGGTAATTGTTCATATTTAAATACATTGGTGATACAAAGTGTCACATTATATTTGCCCAGGACATCAAACTAAATATTTCAATATTTGGATACACAACAGTGTCACTACTGTCACTCATGAAGATTTATTACCGGTCCCGCCCCTTTTCAGCTTCAGCATCTGAGAAGTCACATTTGTATCTAATATGAAGCTATGCACAAAACTGGTAAAACAAACTTACAATGTCATGTGTAATGGTTCATTAAATATTCTGTTAAATGTAGAATTCTGTCTTACATTGTTATAAAATATAATATTCTTTACTTTTAGCTCGATCTTGGGGTTATGTTTTGATGATAATAATCGTTTATAAAACCAGTTGAACATGGTCATATTAAATGACAATTTCATCCTTGGTTCAAATACAAAGACTGTTCCTTACGCAAACCCGGCGAGGTCAGGTCATCACGAGTTCTCTCAAAATTTCCAGGGTTTGAGAAATAGTCTCTCAAACGTGGAAGTTCTCTCCCCGATTCTATCAACTCTGTATGGAACTCTAAGGCCGTAAGCATAAAGTTTTCCTTCAATAAATTGTGTGCAATCGAATCCCATGATGACTCGGACGGCTCCATTGGCAATATGTCATTCTCAGTGTCATCTAGCTGTTCTTCTGTGATGATTTCTGGATCCACATCGCAATCGAAGGGATTGGTGTTTGTGTTGTCCGCCATTTTGTGGTCACGTGATAGAGAACTAAAAACAAATTATATATTGTTGTATATGAATGAACAATATATATATACTTTACAACATTCTTTCATTTGAAGAGATACAAAGATAATAAATTACATTATTATTGATATTGAACGATAAATAATTAAAAAAGATAATCTAAATAAAGTAACGGAAGTACTGATCACATGATCTAGCGGCCCGCGAAATAGAAGTATCAACAATGGCGCAGCCAAGAGTCACCGAATTCTTTTCGGCACGAAAACGTACAGCTGATTCACAGCCATCAAAGCGCAGGAAGGTTGTAATTTTGTCATCAAGTGTAGAAACCTTATCAGTTCAAAATAGAAATGTTCGATCGACTCGGGCATCGTCGAGAAACAAGGCAGAGGTGGATGCTGTTCCCGACCAGGTTCAATTTACTTTCAACGCAAAGGCAACAACAGAAAAATCTAAAACTGAGAAGAAATCAAAACCACAATCGGTAAGAAAGGTTCGCAAGACAAACACGTCAGCCTCTGAGAGAAATCAGAGCAGCATTAAAGATGCCTTTGAAAAGGCCAACAGAGAAAACGCCCCGGCTGACGATATCGGCAATACTCTGGGCACTGATGAAGAAGTGACTTCGGCTTGGGACGAGCACGATGGAATACCGCTGACTCCATCAAAACGACCAAAGGATGGCGACGACTCGTCCGACTCCGAGCGGACAGAGGCGACCAAGAAGCGCACAAGAAAAGGGAAAAGCAAATCCACTGTTCCGGAAATCCAAGCTACAGTGACTCCATCAAAAACGGAACAGATGGAACCCACAAGAAAACCTAGACAGGCTAAAAAGAAACTTCATCTTCGTCCAGTCGTCGATTCGTCTAGCGAGGGAGATAATTTGGAAACAGAGGTACGAGTTATACTCGAAAATTAAACGAGTTCTTTGCATTACTTTAAGGTTCCAGTTTTTAAAGGATCAGGAAGGCAAGTTCCTAGCTCAAGAGTATGCATACAATCAGTATTGTTTCATCTCAATATAATTCTCCAAGCTCCTAGAGTGGGGCTAATTTCTGTCTTAATTGCATGATTGTGAACTGTAGTTTTCAAATTTGTTTCATATGTTAACATTCCACTTTTTTCTCGGAGAAACCAAATTTCTTACATGAAAAATTTCTCAACAGGGTGCACCAGAGGAAACTTCCCAATTACTGCTGCCACCAAAGACACCTCCAGCTATCCCTCCTATCCCCGACACACCTGAGGTTGTCCGCCAGCGACTGAAAAAGGGTCCGGCCAAACCAACATCAAAAAAGGTCAAGGCTGCTATGGCTCTTATCCAGAAATTAAAGGAAGATCCTGTTTCCAAGGGGAAAACCGAAAAGACTACTTACAGAAATGATGTAAGACAGTGATTGTTTTTTGTAAACAATTTTCATGTGCTTTGCATGTTAATCTGCCTCATTACTGAGCAATTCAAACTTAAGCTAACACTACTGCAAAGCAAATTTGAGATACTCGCACATTTCAACATGTGATCATGATCAGCGTTCTTATTATAATTTTCAGCATATACTTGTGGCATTTCATCAAGTCAGTTACAGTGCTTGCTCTAGAATATTCACTGCATTTGCCCAATGTATTCAGTTTAAACATACTGAAAAAAATTGAGACTTAAATGCCCTTTTTTTTTTTTGCAGTGCAGGGAAGATGAAAATCCCTCAGAGTTTATGTACCTATTAAAGAACTTTTACTCAAACTGATATCGGATAAAAAAAATCAACCATTAAATATAAAAAATAAAAATAAAAAAATTTACTGAAAGGACTTTTATTTGCTCATGATCATTACATGCTCACTTCTCTTATATTCACTCTCAGCTGAACATTAACACTGGTTTTGTTTTATTCAGTTGAAGGCAGATATGACATCTGAGAACATGAAACAGAAATTGTCCAAAGTTGGGGGTCTGGAGGATTTGAAAGCACGTCTATCTGATATGGCGAAAACAAAGGCCAGTCTAAAAAAGGATGTGCCGAAGCTGCAGAAATTTGACAAAGTGGACATAGAAGTGCCAGTCACATCTAAGGAAACGTACATGTATGGTTTATATATTCAAGTCATTTAAGCTTCTGATGGTCATTATCACGATTTTTCAAACGTTTGCAGGGGTTTAACGCTTCTGTTTTTAGGTCTATTAGACTCATCAATACTCCACTTAAAATTATTCCCAAATATTTATGGAGAAAAAAATCTAATTATTCTCTGTTGAATTTATGAAAGATTTATTAAGAAAGATATTTAAGCCAATTTAGTGATGCTTTCCATTTCAAGAAAGAGCTATATTTTCTGATAGATGCTCACACTGATGCTTTATGTATTGAAATATAAACATTTTCAATAGGTCAGATCGATGGCAGTTGTATTATTTCATTTTATATGAGGATGTTTTAATGTTGACACTGTTTGAATAGTGTCAATTTCTATAGGGCGTTTGAATTTCACTTAATGTACATTAGTTTGGAGGAAAGGAGCACTAGAAAAATGCTGCATTCAGACCTATAAGAGTAACTTCACTGAAGACTTGAAAAAATTGCTGTAATATAATATTCTAAGGTTTCCGACATACTGCCTAATCCAAAATAATGCTTTACTGCCCAAAACTTTTTGCCCCATAGCCAGGTGAAACTGAACAAGATGTATCCCACAAGGCAAAAGATTATACAGGTTTCACTCTAGATCTGTTCAACATGCATCGTAACAGTTGTCATATTTTTATTTACCATATAGAACAAAGAAGGCTCCTGCATATGAGAGGTTTCATGCTCTGGCCACACCTGCGCCCCCTACCCTGACGATGCCATACAAGTACCGTCTACTGGGAGACATGTTCCGCAGCATGGACACTGTTGTGAGCATGCTACATAACCGCGCAGAGGCCTGTACATTCTCCAAACTTAGGGCTGCTGTCCAGTCAATGACCAAAAGGTAAGACAATAAACATGCATGAAAGTTATTGAAACATTGGCTTACAATGCTGTTTACTTGGCAAGAGTTAAAAAAGAAATCAAATTAATTTTGAATTTCCTTCCATGATTTAAGGTGAGGGCTATTCCATTATTTAAGATCCCCCTAACCCCCCTGGAAGGCACTTTTTTTCAGGGGGACCACTCACAGAAGTGGGGGGTTTCCATAGAAGCAACTTATTTCTATTAATTCGTATATTCAAGTCTTGTTGCATCATCCAAATTATATATATATATATATTGCATCAATGTCAATTCCAAATGATGTATTATAACTCTGATTGTGTTTTGTTTTAAAATTACCAAAAAGCTTTACATGCACCTGACTTTCACCATTTTATAAACTGACGACTTTTCATCTGTAAACTATCAGCCAAAAACTAGACATGCTGTTCTGAGTCCAAATCAGAGCCCACAAACACCTACATTTCCATATATCATCAATTGCGAACTACCTATAGTGGGAAAAGTTGACCGACACACATGTTCGTTGACATTTGGGTAATCATATACTCTGTCGGTTTCATCGTGATTTTTTTTTATATTATATATATATTTCAAGTTTTTTGTTACATCTACATCAAACAGACATTACACACAAACTCTCACTTGTAGACAGAAGCATGCGTTTCTCAATCATAGTCATTTATACACGTCATCAACCTCATCATCATCAGCATCATCATCATCATCATCATCATCATCATCACATAATCATCACATCATCATCATCGTACATACACATTGACAATCATCATCATCATCATCATCATCATAATCATTGTACATACACATTGACAATCATCATCATCATCACATCATCATCATTGTACATACACATTGACAATCATCATCATCATCATCATTGTACATACACATTGTCAATCATCATCATCATCATCATCATTGTACATACACATTGACAATCATCATCATCAGTTTCATCGTGATTTATTCGTCAGCTTATTGCAGAACTAGTCTACCTCCCAGATTAGCTGTAGGTTTAATGTACTGCAACAATGCCAGAGATGCTATTTAAAATGAAGGATAATAATAGACCATGAGGTAGCAGTGTACAGTAGAAATGGCCCGACTCTGATAAACAAGGCACATGTCGAGGAAATGTAAACACAGCAGATTTACCCTACACAACACATGTATACATGTTTATATATTTGTAAACTGCATTACATTTACAATACATATAAAGTACTGAGAAGTGTATAAACCTCTTTTTTCTATGTATGTCACTTGTGTGAAAACCATGGTTACCACATCAAAAATTACCAAAAAATGCCAAAAATTGCAATTTTTAACCCAAAATTTGACCCCCGCAACTAGTAATTTTTTTCCTTAGCTCTGTCTGAAATCAAAGATTCCCTACCTGGTTGCAGAATTATCTGGGTCCCAGTAAAGTTGTAAAACTTAATGTTTTGCAATTTTGCGTTGTGTGCTGTTGTCAAAATTTTACCTCCTGTAAAGCTAGCTTTTCTTGTGTACGCACCCTTTCGTATTATGGCCAAAATTTTATTCTCGCACCAAAGAAATCTTCTTTCTTTTTTACAAATGTGAAGCTCACATAGCCCACTTCATCATGCTTATACCAATTTTAGTACAGTTTTATTTTTATATTTTTTTTACATATCATTATACAGGGGTTAGCCATTTAACAAAAATATCACCCATGGTCACAACCCTCTACTGTATACTGCTACCTGAACAGAAGTGATTTTCTCCAGATCAGCATGTGGTACAGAAGCTTTCTTTTGCTCACGCCAACCATGCACAGAAGTTCTATATTTTGCAAACCGGGGAGTAGGGGTATGTTTTAATGGAATAACCCTGAAGGAAGCAAAGTGAAATTCACTAGTTTGACAATTCTATTTTATTTTATCTATTTTAGTTTAATACGAAACGAAGACACAAAAAAAGGAAATAACATGATTTGAAGGAAAGGAAATAATACTGATTATTTTTTATAAACGATAAAATATTTTGTGTACTACACAGAAATTTTGAGGAGAGACATGCTGGCCAGGTGAAGACAGTGTATCCCACAGCCTATACATTTCGACAACAAAAGGGGATCCCTGACTTCACGAGCAGTAAACCCGCTGGATACCAACTCACTGTTGAGGCTAATCTTACTGAAGGTAGGATAATTACTCTCTACCAATTAAAAGCCAGTTCATCATCGAGGGTTATCCCACTAAACCTGTTGAATACACTGTTGGGTCACAACTTTACCTACAACCTTTTGTCATTTTTTTTGACCATCAATAATAAAGTTTGATTCTACATAATTCTTAACTGTTGCTAACTTCACCTTTGCCTAACTTTAAGATGTAGTTAAAAAGCTAGACTTGTAGACTATAAAAAAGATCATTTCCTTCAACCACATTGAACAACCATTGTCTCTGACGAAATTATGTCTATACTTGTAAACTATTGGGAGGGATTGAAACTTGCTATTTTCATAAAAATAAATAAAAAATCTGATGTCTAAATACTTAAATATGTACTTTCAACATTAAAGATGAAGATGTTAAGATGAAGAAAGTGAACTTCGCGGCCAAAGACCTACTGGATAGACGCTGTATCTTTCAAAACAAACTCCTTTGCATTGTAAAACGTCATCACAAGGTTTGAAAATTGCTTCTTTAGCCAATACATATAAACTTCTGAATATTACTGGAGTTTGAAGTAGCAGAAAAAGAGGTGTCTTCTATTAGATTATTTGCACCAAACAGCAAGACATGGTTAGCTAAATTGAAATGGATTTAAAAAGAAAAATGAATTTTAAACACCAGAAAGACACCTTATCTTGGCCATTTGAAACTTTTTCTATTGAATATACCTTGTTGAAGAATGGTGACAATTATGAATGAGGATATGAAATTACTTAATGAATCATTGTGACAATAACGATAATATGAAATTACTCCCTGTGATCTATGTTTCCATAATTGGTTATTAATGGGTTGTTAGGAGTTCCTGGCCAGGTTGGATAAGCCACTGTCTATACCTGATGACAAAATAACTCGCTGGCACCCAAAGTTTCCTGTGGATGAGGTCCCAGATGTTGAGGTGTCAGAGCTACCTAAGCCTGATGTTTCCCACAAGTACACCACTGCTAAGGACGTCCTGGAGGCCAGGCGAGGACAGCTTCCAGCGAAGGTATGTACATGTTATATAAGGGGAGATCACTCTAGCGATCGTGGGTCAGAAATATTTGACTAGTCTGGCGTGGCACATAACCTATCTGGAACAGTTCCCTACTTGATTAATCCAGCTCTGTGTATCATATTTCTTATAAACTGTAGACTGTGTCAAAAAGGTTTGGAATGCTCCCAGAGATCAATGCTGTAATATCAATGAAATAATGACATGTGAATTTATCTTTGGTAGAATTTGCTAAGGCCAAAAAAATTTGATTACTTGGTTCTCAGGCCCGCGCGCATCTCATGGAACCATGCGCATTGCCGATTTTATCGTGAAAGTAATAAAAAAAAATTGTGAATGTGGCAGCCGCCCTCTTTAAACAAAATCCGGAAAATTGGTCCGCATGTCGTTTTTACTCGTTAGTCACCCAAGTCCCGAAAACTCTTGAATAAAGGTAAGGATTGAGATACAGGCAAGCGTTAAAATGATTATGACTTATTAGTCTTGTGTACAAATGGCGCTCATTTCAATACAAAAAAGGAATGGGGGGTTCGTGATTCTCGTCTGGAACATAGTGGGAGGAATTTCGGAGGCTTGCTCTATGATGGGTCTCTACACAACTATAAAGAGACAAGGTAATGTCCACAATGAACGTTTTACAAACTACACAATAAAAAAAAATCGCCCTCGTCTCGTTTTTGCCATGTAAAATGGGAAAAAAATACCGCCCTGCCGCATCTATTTTGAAAAAAATTGGCCTGAGAACCAAGTAATTAATTTTATTTGGCCTAAGCTTCACCTCTGACTCGTGTTCCATGTAATAATCATATCCAGTTCCATTGATTAGTATTTTGAGTTTTTCTGCTTCTTCAATTTATTATTTTGTGTTTTTCTGCTCCTTCAATTTATTAACATTTTCTGCTTTCTGTTCCTTCAATTCTGATCAGGTAGAACAAGCTTTAGAGAATGTAGCACTGGCATCTAAAGAGGAGTCGATCAAACAGGAAGCTGTAAAAGCCGAGTCTAACCAGAGGGTGACGGACACAAACTCGTCAGCTGGCTCCCAATACAAGGGGATACCACAGTCACTCCTGGACAAGGTAACTCTATGGTGTCATTAGCGATTAGGGACATATTTACAGTGTCTCAATGACTTAAACTCAAGTTACACGTTAGGAAAATGGAGAAAAAATGTTTCTGTCAACCACCATTTAGTTTTATCATTGTCTACTCGGCAGATGTGACAGAAGTAAGCCTGCAATTTACAAGGTGGCCTCATATTCATGACCCCATATGATCATGGCATGGGATACAGCCTGCCAAATTTTACTCCAAACTGCAGGAAATTCTGCGGAGTATAAACATTTAATATCATATCAGGGTGATAGAATTATTGTATTATTTTATGTCTGATAAAAATTCAATGTACATTGGAACTTCCCAAAACTGATCACCTCTTTATACCAAACAATGATGATGTACAGCATTGTTGCTTTCTGAACACAAAACCCTTCCTCAACCAACCCACATACTTCTGTCCCATGCATCGCTGGTTTTAAGAACTTTTATTGTATAACAAAAAAATAAAATATGACTGGGCCCGTGTCAATACAAGATTATTCACAGGGAAATGTAGAAATTTTCTTTACATATTTATTTTCAGATCCGTGCAAAGGAGAATAAAAAGTTATCGCTTGCAATGACAAGAAACCCTGCAGAGGATCGACGTTTAGAGATGTTACAGAGATTACCCAATTTGATGCGGATGCTGAGGTCGCACTTTGTCACCGAGAAAAAAAATGCTCTTCTACTGGAAAACATCGTTCAGAAACTTGGAGACAGTAGTCGTAATTTTATACCATTTGGTAAGCTGTCAATTCTGTAGACTGTTAAATTTTACACCACCAAAGTTTATGCTGTGCTTAATACGAAATAAGTTTTCAAAGTGCTTAGTCTCTTACTGCTAAATGATGCTTTTTGGTCAGTCTGCCCTGTTAAAACAACAATAAACATAAAACAGGCAAACATTTCCCATTTCAAATAGGTTTCATTTTCTGAGGACAGGGTGGTAATTATCCTTGGATGGAAGTTAAAAAATCTGGGGTGTTCTATATTGATGCGCTTTTTTTGAGGTCACGCTTGCATGTGATTTCTTGGCATTGTATACTGTCTCTGCTATTTATTCTAAAGATGACAAAACTCTATATTCCACAGATGAGTTACCAGAGGGTACTTTCCCTGGTGTGCAGTAAAGTCAATAGATTATTATTTTGGTAAAGAGAAAAAAAGAAGTACAAACTGCATGAATTTACATGTACACTGCAAATTCTCTGTTATAGAACTTCAATTATTGAACTACGGAAAAAGTAGTAGTTTCAGTATTTGTCATAGCTGTATGGGAAACAGTCAGCTGAAATTATATGAGTGTATGGAATGGAAGCATGGGAAAATTATTACAGATTATTTTAAACATGATTTTGCTGACTGCAGATAATTAAGGTACTTTTTCTAAAATGTTCAATGTTTTACTTTACAGCGGCCATGGAAAGCCATGTGAAGTTGATGATTGAAGTCTTACCAAAGTGGCTTACCCTCATCGAGATAAAGAAGGGGAAATATGTCAAGATGGATAAAAATTTGGATCTGCAAGTCTTGATTGAAGGAGTGAACAACATTTTAAAGAGTAAAAGATAGTGTATGTTTCTAGTGTTGTAAGTTTGGGAGTGTGTTCAGAGTGGTAGGTTTGGAAGTACGTTTGGAGTGGTTGATTTGGGAGTAGGTTTGGAGTGGTAGGTTTAGCAGTATGATTGGAGTGGTTTATTTGGAAGCATGTTCAGAGTGGTAGGTTTTGGAGTATGGAAGGGACGTTTAAGCACGTTATGTTAGACTTGTTTTTATTTTGTGACTGTTTCAATTTGCCTGTTGAGTCTCTATCAAAACATTTGCTATCATCATTTTGTAAAACAAATATTGTATGATCATGAGAGAAAATATCATTTTTCCAGCATCAGTGAAGATTTTCAATTCATTTTATAATTGAATGTTTTGTCAATATTTCATTATATTAAATGTCAATTGTGGAATTTATATTTCTTTATCACATCAGATTACATTTAAATGGCTTGAAATACATAATTGGACGTCTTTTCTAGAAGTCCAATTTCATTTATTCATTTTACAAAGTCAGAATCTGGACACGGTAAATTGATTTGAAAGCATATTGACCCATAGCGAACTATATTAGGAAATCGGAAGCCAAGATGGTATAAACGTTTGTCGACATCAGATATTTGCCTATTGTAATCCTTGTCAAGTTGACCTCAACTATCTTGTTGGTTTATTCAAGTTTTTAATTATAAATTATTGGTAGAATCAGTACCTTGTTAAAAGACATTTTCTCTTTTCAAGTTGTTTCTTTTAACAGGATTCTTTGTAGAGTCAAAATGTTGATGCCATTCCAATTTGATCCTTCATCATGTATTTGATTGAAGTATTATAATGTAATCTATAGTAAAATGCTTGATTGTAATTTATCATCAAATGAGTTGAAAAATGTTGTCATGAAGAAAAAAGAAAAAAACAATAGATGCTTAGCTGTGTAGTACTGGTATGGGGGGAAAATGGGAGTGGACGGATTCAAAAGTTGTATGTTCTGTCCATCGGTTAGTCCTTTGTAAAATTCTATAAGCAAGTTTGTTCTTCTGTTTGGGGTTATACTTGATCTTATGTTTGGGGTTATACAAGGATTGCTCGCGATACTTTGCATCGGTTTTAAAAGAAGCATGTTCACCAATTTAATATTTCAAAAAAAAAATCATAATGATGTGCCAATACTTGTTTGCATTATAATCATTGCCCGACAGGAATTCATTGAAGATTGCAATTTTTTCTAATTTCTTGCTTTAGTATAATTATAAGTAAGTACAAAACTTGTTTTATTATTCAAACCGGATATATTTGGGAAGGTGTTTTTTTCTTGGTTGTGACATTTCTGTTTCAAAAAAAACCCTGATGTGATTTTTAGGTCACCTGAGCTTTGCTCAAGTGACCTATTCCAATCGCTTTTCGTCCATCGTCGTGCGTCGTGCGTAAACTTTTACATTTTCAACTTCTTCTCAAGAACCAGTGGATGGATTTTTTTCAAACTTGGTCAGAATCATCCTTGGTGGATGAGGCTTCAAAATTGTAAAATTGAGATTCCTACCCCAACCCCTGGGGTCAGGGCGGGGCCCCAAAGGGAAAATTAATCAATATTTCAAAAATCTTCTTCAGACTCAGAGGTACTACACTCATTTTCTCTACGTGGAAAGAAAGATCATCAGGGGCTTTACTTAAATTGTAAATTTCAGGACCCCCGAGCTATCCGTTCTCCCTTGGGGAGGGGGTAAAGTTTACTATAGTTTATATAGGGAAATAACACTTTTGGGTATATTTTGACAACTTTCTGTAGGAAATTATTTTTACTTGGTG